ACTGCCCCCCCCCCCGGTCTATTTTCCTCTGTGAATATCACAGATTTGTGTTGTTCTTAATCATAGGTATGTGTTCTTCTTAGAGCCATCAGTTGCTAATTGGACACAGCCCACCTCCCTCCCGTAACCACAAGTAACATAAAAAAGCATTGTTGCCTGCCCAGGTTACAGAAATGCTGCACGGAGTTTCTGTTTGGTTGGTGTATAAGAGATGGGATGCAGCTGCGCAGCAGATGGTCTGGGTATCTGCTGCCACATATAATAATTCTTTTCCCCCCCCAGAAAGTTCATCCTGGGTCACAGAGTTGACAGCACCACAGAGTATCGGGTTGCAACATCCCTCCCAGGATTTGGAAATCTCACCCAGGGATACAACAAATATCTCAGGCCAAACTTTGGTGGTATGTAATCATATAGACATATTTTGCAGTTATGTAGGACTCACTCAAGTAGATAAATAGGTACCACTTCAGTGGGAAGGTAACAGTGTTCGTTGCACCTTGGTGTTTAGTCATGCCGGCCACATGACCACGGAAGTGTCTTCGGACAGTGCAGGTTCTTCGGCTTTGAAACGCAACCCTAGAATCGGATTCAACTGGCTTTCAAGCAGGGGAACCTTTACCTTTACCTTAGGACTCACTAAAAAAGGCAATCATCCATTCAAAGGAAGAAACAGTTTATTTGCCCTCATAATTTATAGCTAGTGTATCTGCCCATTTGAGATTAGATTCGGTTTCGGTCAGCCCTGGTTCAAAACTTTTTCTTTCTTTCTCTTAAGTTACAATGAGATGACCCAATGGTCTTGGACAACAACCAGGTCCAAATAACTGAAATGCACTTGGGCCTGCCTCTTTTATCTAAACTGCCTCACAGGGTAGTTGTGAGCATATGAATGGAAAGAATCATGTACACTGCCCTGAATTCCTTAAGGGTGGAAGAAAGATGAAGTAATAATACTTCAGCAAGGCTTGTTATTACCCCATAAAGACTGAGGTACCATCTTGAAAGTCACATGTAAATTTTGCCATTGTGAGGGGATTTTGACATGAGGGACTGTACCACATTCTGTTTCTGAATGTGGAAATGGGCTTTCCATTTAAGAAGAATGCAGTGGTTCCCCGTGGGCTGAATGGTGAATATGAAGGCGTCTCAACACTGATGATGGCTTGACATAACTATTTAATATGTGAGGGGGGAGGGTTCCAATCTGAGGGCAGATTCTTACCTAAGATTTTTTCTTGTTAGAATTCAAAAAGTGTACTGAATAATTATGTTGTCAGCTGTGATCTGAGGTTATGGCTGATGTATCTCAGTCACCGCCAACTACCGCAGAAAGCATGTGAGAACACGGTAACCCTGGCCAAACAAATACACACAAAGTCTGCTATGGACAAAAGCATCACAGTAACTTTACTTTTAGTCATCTGGGAGCAGATGTGCATGTGTTTTCTATCTAGCAATGTGAGAGAGATTATGATGAGATAGGATAGGATTGGCAGCTCCACTGTGAGAAATTTGGGAGTGGGGACACTAAAACCATAGTTTTTCTTATCCATTTTAAAAACATCGTAAATCTGCATATATTTTAACCATTCGTAATTATATTGAATTTCATCCTGCCCTTTCATTATCCATTCTGTTCCTTGTTTCCTAATTATGTCTCTATAAGGCAACCATTACTTGCCTTGCTGTCTTGAATACGGTGTCAAAACTTCTGTTGGTACAATCCATAGTGGCCTTGCATCTCGAAAAAATCTTCTATATCTTGTCCATGTCGCAAATAAAGCACGCCTCACCACATGGTGTCTAAAAAAGCTGTCCATTTTTGTCACAACCCCAGTCATGTTGATGCACAAAATCACTTCCAGCTAGGTTGCTAACTCTGGGCTGGGGAATACTTGGACATTTGGGGGTACAATATGGGAAGTAAGGGGTTTAGAGAAGGGAGGAAATCCACTCTCCAAAGCAGCCATTTTCTCCAGTGGGACTGATCGCTGTAGTCTGGAGATCAGTTGTAATTCCCAGAGATCTCCAGGTAGGCAGCCTGACTTCTGGCACAGAACAGGAAGTGATGTCATTGAGTTGGGGGGTGTAACACAATGACATCACTTCCTGTCATTACACAACGACATACCTCCTGATTTTGCACCAGAAGTGATGCTGCTAGGGTTGCCAACTCTTTTGCAGTGTTTAAAAGGGTAGGAGATCCACGTACGGATCTCCCGTTTCATGAAACTTTGTGTTTAGTTTGGCCCCAACCTCCCTAAAGTCAGTGGTTGGTTTTGGAAGCATGTAAGGATAATTTGATGGTGTCTGCCTGGGCACGATAGCTATAGATAAATACAAAGTACCTCTTTAAATCCATAGGCACATAACACTTCCTTCAGTTTTTGCTTCTTGTAAATCAGGCTTCATTTTTACTTCCGCAGGAGAGCCTGTGACGATAGGCATGAGCGTTAACATTGCAAGTATTTCCAGCATATCTGAAAGTGATATGGTAAGCAAATCATCCCTGATGCAACAGCCTAGCAGTCTGCCTTTCATAATGCTTCTTTTCTTTCGATAACACTCCCTTGCTCAGATTCTTGTTTGCTTGTTTCATCTGGGCCACTTTTCCTGACAAATATGAATTGTTGTGTACTCAGGGAACCCCCCGCACGTGGTCAGGCAAACACGTGGTCGGGCAAAGGACCCGAGCTTCGCTGCAAGAGACAATAGCCTGAATGGATCCTAGCACGCACCTATGTGGATGCTAGGAACCTAGGAGGGATCTATGGGTCTAGGGGTGCACTGTAAATATCCAATCATGTGTGTATGTGTGTGCGTGTGTGTGTGTGTTATGAGTTGCAAATATAAGCCGGCCTGCGAGCCGGCTAAACCATCTCAAGTTCTTGACCTAACAATAAAGTATGAGCTGGAATCACTCTGCTATGCATCAGCCGCAGTACTTTATATGAATGGTGGAGGTGGTGTGCTGGATGGACCGAAGTGGTTTTAGAATACGGTTTTTGCTTCATGCTCAGGGTTCCCATTGCTGAAGGCATGTGAGCCATTTCCCATCAATTAATCCATTAGACTTTTTTTTGATCAAGTCAAAAAGGTACCTCCAATTAATCAGGCAGCAGAGTGCTGGTGGCTGTAGGTGGAGCCTTTTTCTTTCACAACTGAGCTGCGGTGTCCTTCCACACTGAGGCTCTGACGTTTTCCTCATTGTCAAGTTCCCCCGCGCCTGCATTTGCATTCCTCTGCTGCTTTCCCTTATTTCTGCAGATGTTTTTGCAGTCCCAGGCACAAAAATGCAGCTTGTCCCCCTGTTCCTCCACAGCATCAGACTTCCCTGATTCTGGGTATTCCCATGCTGTGCCGCAAGAGGGGGCAAACTGTGTTTTTGCTCCTGGGAGGAAGGAATCATCTGCAGAAATGAGGGAAAGCCACGGATGAACAGAAGAGCAGATGGGGAAAACGTGGCACTGCGGAAAAAAGCAGTCGTCTGGGAAGGGTGAAGAGTCAAAGGGGGAATTGCTGGTCTGTGAGGGTCACCGCATGACTGCCACCATCCCTGCCGGCTTCCAACTCCACCCACTGCTGCTTTCTCAATGGTGGTGGGCAAAGTTGTGGAGTCTTGTGAGCAAAAATTCTACTTTGTGAGCTACAGGCATTAAAGTTGTGAGCGAGCGATCTGGCTGCTGCATAAATTGTTTTGCTCAGTCTGGAGCCATCCTTCCTGAACTAGGACAGAAATGTGTGAGACGAGGGCTAAAAAACTGTGAGCTAGCTCACACTAACTCAGCTTAGAGGGAACACTGGTGGTGGCTTTTCCTCCCCTTACGTAGAAGCAGCCAGTGTTGGAGCGAGAACTGAACTCGGTGCTGGTTAAAACCTCTCTGCGCTGTGTCGATTAAAAACACAGGAGTCTTCTTCTGCATCTGGAATCGCCAACCCTCAATCTAGATTTCAAGCCTCACGTGTACCTTACAAAAACAAGGCACCCCTAAGGAGAGAACGACACTTAGTTCTGCCATTCTGTGAACCATGAATGAAACAGAACTCAGGGAAGGAACCTCTGCCACATCCATCCTCCCAATGGAACATCCAGAGCAGTGTTCCCTCTGAGCTGTGGAGTCTTGTGAGCAAAAATTCTACTTTGTGAGCTCCTGGCATTAAAGCTGTGAGTGAGTGATTTGGCCACTGTCTAAGTTAGTTTGCTCTGGAGGCATCCTTCCTGAGCTAAGAGAAATATGTGTGAGCCGGAGGCTCGAAAACTGAGCTAGCTCACACTAACTCAGCTTAGAAGGAACATTGATCCAGAGTAGGGTCAGAATTAAGAGCCAGTTTGGTGTAGTGGTTAAATGTGTGGCAGACTCTACTCTGGGGGAACCAGGTTTGATTCCCCACTCCTCCACTTGCAGCTGCTGGATGACCTTGGGCAAGCCATAGTTCTGCCAGAGCTGTTCTTGAAAAAGAGCAGTTTCTGTCAGAGCTCTCTCAGCCCCACCTACCCCACAGGGTGTCTGTTGTGGGGAGGGGAAGGGAAAGGAGTCTGTAAGTTGCTCTGAGACTCTGAGTGAGTGAAGGGCGGGGTATAAATCCAATCTCCTCCTCCTCCTCCTCCTCTTTCTAAAACAGTCCTGAAAAAGCAAGGCAAGCCTCTATCCATGGTCATCCTTGTCGTGGGTTATGTCCAAGCGGAATCGGCTTGTTCCTGCCCACCAGTGGAACTCCAGAGTAGGTCCACAATAGATCAGAGAGATCCAGAGTGTATGCAGAGTTAACACAGGCAGACAACGGGAGCCGGTTATCAGAGGCAGGATGCCAGGGTTTAATAAACAGAGTCCGTAAATTATACAAGAGTTGTCTGAGCAGGCCAAGGTCAGTTTTCTGAGGAGCAAGACAGATACAGTGGCAGCAGGTTAGTGTCTAAGGGAAATGTGTTGAAGCCATGCTGAAGAGCTCCTCCCTCATACTGTTATGAACTCCAAGCACTAAGTCACACCTGCACCAGCTGCTTCACTTCTCTTCTGGTGACGTTCCTCCTTCCTCTGTAACTCCTGGTAAGATAAAGAACCAGTCTTAAGCTGCTTCTGGTGACGTTCCTCCTTCCTCTGTAAGGAGCCAGTCTTAAGCTGCCCCCCCCACCAAGCTACTGGTGATGTCAAGGGACCCTCAAGAATGGTGTATGGTGTGTGTGTGTGGGGGGGGGGGCTTCAGCTGGATGAATTACTCTTGCCTTTGTTCAAGCTCTCGTTCCCTTAATGTAGCAGCCCGAACAATCAGGAGTTGCTTTTTGCCAGTTCCCCCTCCAGCTGCAGGGACCCTTTGGAACCCATCCATGAATTCTTTTCTGCTTTGTTCATGGTTCATCGGATTCAAACAATAGATCAGAGAGATCCAAAGTGTTGGACTGTGCTCGTACAATGCCATACCCTTTATCGTTAATCCAAGTCTAGGATTCTAGAGAAAGCTGAAGTCCTACCAGGGTTTGGAAGACCACTGCCAGCACGTAGGCAATCTTCAACAGGTTGACGCGATCTCTCACGAAGCTAACTTCCCAGGTACCCGAAAGCTATTAATCAACAAATCTTTCCTTCGAACAAGAATGTTCTCATCACTGTACCACTTACATTATTTTTGTTCACCAAGTCTCACATGGAACATTATAGAGATGTACTCTCTCTGGCTCGATAAATAATTGAAATACAAATGACCCAGGGGTTTTCACCTTCATTGCTGGGATTAATAATTCACTGCTTTGAAATACATAATGGTGCATCATCTCAATCGTTGAGGTGAAGACGTTTCCCCTCCCTAACAGCAGGAGAATAAAGTCTGAAGGATAGTGAAGATATACATGAAGTCTCTGGCTTTTGTTGTTGTCGTTGTCGGTATTTAACACCTTTGATCCAAAAGCTTCTTAACAGTCTATGCACTCTGTGCAAAAGGAATCTGTTTATCCAGCATTTGGACTGGAGAGAAAAGATGACCAGAGATGTTTGTAATTGGATATTTCACCACTGTAATCATTCACCCTCTGGATTTTCCTGTCCATACAATAGCACAGTAGTCAACAATGAACGAATCCTACCATAGTGTATGGGACAGGCAGGGCCACTGTACTTCATCTGGCCTTTCTATCCAAGGACAAGGCTGTCAATACAATTTACATTTGTTCCTCACCTTTCTCCCCAGTGGTGACCCAATGCAACTTACATCTTTCTCCTCTTCTCCTCCCAGCCAGGAGAGTGGGGTATAAATTTGATAATAAAATTTATCCTCACAACAACCCTGTGAGGTAGGTTAGACTGAGAGAGTATGACGGGCCCAAAGTCACCCAGCAAGCCTCCATAGCACAAGTGGGGATTTGAACTTGGGTTTCCCAGATACTAGCCTGACACTCTTAACCATAACAACTTGCGAGTAGATGAATGGGTACCTGCCTTAGAAGGCAGGGAGCACCCTCCTCCATTGGGAGGCAAAGTGGGAACCTCAGCAGCGACGGTTCGGCGAGCGGCAGCGGCGGCAGCAGCGGGGTGGCGTGTAATGGTGGCGGTAGTCGAGGCGGTGAGCAGAAGAAAAAGGAGACGCGACATCTAGCAGTTAACTCCTCCATTGGGAGGCAAGGTGGGAACCTCAGCAGCGACGGTTCGGCGAGCGGCAGCGGCGGCAGCAGCGGGGTGGCGTGCAATGGTGGCGGTAATCGAGGCGGTGAGTGGAAGAAAAAGGAGATGCGACATCTAGCGGTGGACCGGCGGCAAAGGCGGAGCCAGGAAGGCGTGAGGACGCTCGGCGCAGGTGCGACGGAGCCTGAGGGACGGAGCCAGTGCCGCACCGATGTGATCAGCACGACGGATGGGCCCGCCGACTCCAAAAGACCTCCCGAGGAGCCTGAAGAGAGCGGAGGGAAG